CCTTTGTACTTGCTCGAAGCCACTTAGGTACCTGGTCATGACTAGTCATTTCCCCTGTCCAATCAAGGTCTTCATCCATTTGATCAAACAATTCAACTTCGTCTTCACTCCTGGCAATCATTCGATTTACCTGCTGCAGTGAAGGAACATCATGGACAGTTTCTTGATACCTTTCCTCGTCATGTAATAATGTCTCCAAAGTCATCCGCCGCTCTTCATGCGTGGTTCTCTGGTCAAAACGCCCAGCATTTATAACCTCATCAGCCATGTCAATTTTATATTGTTGAATGTTATTCCTTATAAGACTTTCAATGGATCCCATGTATCGATCTTTGCCTGCAAAATCATCCTCTAAATCAACGGAACCTCCACTTCGCAATTCATCCTCCTTTTGGTGGCTAGAGATCTTGTCTACAACAGCCTCCATATATATAACTTTCACTTCTCTTGTTTGTCCAATGCGATGGGCCCTAGCAACTGCCTGCTCCTCATTCTTGGGGTTTGGATCAGGATCATATATGATTACTGTATCGGCAGACTGAAGATTAAGACCCCGGCCAGCTGCACGAATACTAAGCAAAAAGATGAAGGATTCAGATTCAGGGCTATTGAAGTCCACAATAGCTGATTCACGATCTTCTAAGCTAGTTGTTCCATCTATTCTTCTGTAGATAAGACGTCGCCACTGCAAATATTCCTCCAAGATATCAAGGAGTTTTGTCATTGTACTAAATAGCAATACTCGATGCCCTGTTCTCTGAAGTTTTATAAGAATCCTATCCAGAATCCACAATTTCCCGCAAGATCTTACAAGGAAATCTTTGGAAAAATCATTAAGATACGGATAATTCAGCAAAGGATGATTACAAGCTTTGCGCAGCTCCATACATCTGTTATTCAAAGTCCTGTACACTTTAGCCTGGTATATTGGATTTTTCTGAGCCTTGCGCTTTTCATCTTCAGGATCAACTCTAAGAGTGCCAGTGGATTTTATCCAATCATAAATAGCACTCTGAAAAGCAGACATTCTACATCTTAAAACAATGGAAACCTGCAATCCAGCAAAAAAATCAGAAAGAATCTAAACAAAAGGTCTTCAGCAAGAGCAACTTTACACCAATAATATACCTTTGGCGGAAGTGAGCCTTCCACATCTTCAACACGCCGTCTGAGCATAAAAGGTTCCAGAATTTGATGAAGTCGGTGGATAATTATAACCTTCTTTTCAGTCTCAAGCCAGTCATCCTCAGCATTATGTGTGGGACCCTCTTTTTGGAAGGGTTGTGAGAACCAATCATGAAATGCTTTGCGATTGTCAAACACCTCAGGAAGTAGTAGATTCAGAAGTGACCAAAGTTCCTTTAGATCATTCTGCACATAAAAATACCTTATTTTTATTTTCCTTTCCCCCATTTCAGTCACAAAGAGCAAGTAATCCTCAGGTTCATCTCAAGATACATAAACTGTGAATAAAAAAAAGCCACTGAATTGACCATCAATCCATGTCTATGGAGCAACTACACATAGGCCTTGATTCTGTGTCATCTAAATCCTGCTCCAGGATAACATAACAAAATAATCCAGTTATCATGCGCCATTTCTTTTTGTTTAAAGTTGTGTGGTCAAAGGACACCACACCACTTCCACTTCCCAGCCCATTAATTGGAAAGAACAAAAACAACTAAAATCTGGCCTCCCATATAATATTTATGCAATCCAGAAAGTGAGAACTGAAATTTACAACTAAAAAACAAACACTGGATGCAGAAAATAAATTCATTTAGAAACGTGACTGATAGGTATTGTTAGTACAGGGTGGAACTGTACTCCACATGTCAATTCATGTGGACAAGCAACCAATTCTAACCAAAGTGACCAAAACCTCCATCTTGGTTCAACAGAAGAAGACAAACTTAGAATCTTGAAACAGAACCTAGTCCCTACATGAATAGAATCATCAAGGTCCAGATTTCTAAAATCGCAACAATGCTCTCAAAATTTTGATTTGCCATCTGATAAACTTGATAGATATTCTAACAGTTTTCACCAATGAGCTTAAGGTTCCAACAGGAAAGTTAAAATGAATCACTTTTTAAGTTGTTTATCACCCCAATATAAGTGAGCATGTGACCATTTATTCAACTATGCCTAAATTTAACAAAAGAAACGTTATGTTAACAATGTTAAATACAAATCACAAATGAAAATTGTATTAGTTAGTAGGTGTTTGCCAATTTATGTAACAGTATAAAGATTCTTTAAAAAAATTAAAAGAAAATGCAGGGAGATGTCTTAACAGACCTGCAATGGTGTCCCAGTTAGAAGAAGACGCCTCTGACAGCGGTATCTATCAAGATCACGTGCTAAAACTGATTCCCTGTCCTTCATTCTTTGTGCTTCATCAATTATGATATATTTCCAATCAAGTTTTGATAGTTTTGAACGATCATACATTATGAACTCATAGGTTGTCACAAGAACATTAAATTTCATTGCGCAGACCTCCTATACATGAATACAGCGGAAGATATTTTAGAATGTTAGGAACTCAGCAATTCAAGTAATGGAAGAATGTCCACCACTTACTTGAGAAAATAATTTTGACCGCTGATCCTTCCCACCAACATAAAAGATGCACGACACAGACGGCAACCAATTGTGAAACTCACTCTGAAAAAATAACTCAATTAGCCATGTTGAGCAGTACTCAAAAAGAAAGTCATGACATTTAAACAGAATATGAGGGAGACAAACCTTCCAATTAACCAAAACAGCATTTGGAACAATTATGAGATGTGGACCATAATTCCCTTTAAACTCCATTAAGTAAGCAATCAATGCCATTACCTGCACAGTAAAAAAGTCTAACAATTAAAGAGTATGCAGTCTATATCTAGATTCATTCTGCTTCTAAAAAAATATTAAATTCTGGTGGATCATCAGAGTACTCATCAAACCAAGACCTGAGACATGGATCCACACATGAAAAACATAAGAACTTTTTTTAGGTGACATCTAATCAGAATCACCTGCACAGTTTTCCCGAGACCCATCTCATCTGCCAAGATTCCATTTAATTTATTGTTATACAATGAAAGCATCCACTGCAATCCAACCTGCCACATGAAATACAATGGTTCATATGAAAAGACCAGTGACAAAACCATGAAACATAAACCAAAAAATATCAGAAGAATATAATAGCTCAAATTATGCAACCTACAAGCTGATAATCTCGTAAGGTTCCAGCTCGCAGCATTGAAGGTTGCCTTGCAACCTTTTCATTCACTGCATGAGCAAGACTATAATACCTGGTTGTAACCATAAAGAACAAAGAGTAATTAGGTATTCTGCCCAAGAAAAGAAATACCTTATAAATGAAAATATAAATATCTAAAGCACACTAATCAAAAAACACGTTAGTGCATCATCCTGTACCACTAGTTCATCCAATAAGGACAGGAAAATGTTGGGTTAAAATAATTGTGGAGGAAAAGATGTGTTCAAATGAAGAAACATCAAGAACAGTTGGCATATGTACTATTAGCAATCTGGACTATAGTTCCTGACAGAACCCACACCCATTACTAGCCAATTGGCATTTCACTGTCAAACAGCATATCTGATGCTCACACTTAGATTAACCACCTTACTTTTCCTTAATATGGCCCAAAAGAAAAGGAACCACAGTACGACACATATAAGAACAAAAAACACAACTTACTTGCTGACAGAAGAACCATCCTTAGGTGCATTCATCTCCATAAACCGATTCCTGATCATCACTTCTTCTCCAGCACAAGTAGCCGCTGCCCTAACCTCTTCTTCAGATAGACCCTTTTACCAGAAAAACAAATCCATTATTAGTAATGTGAAAAGCATCCAATGCATAGTGAATACAGAAAGAAATTATTTTTCCTATTTAGTAGGTGTCAGAAGTATGAAAAAATAAAAGCTAAAAGCTGACTATGAAGAAGGATGATTTTGTTTTCCCAAGGGCTACAGAGATTGAGAGTGTAAAAAAGCAAACCAAAGAAAGGTACCTGCAATCGTGCAGCAGCTGCAGCAGCATTTGCTGCCTCTTCCACTTCCTGTTGACTCTTAGCAGCTGTTATTTTACTTCCCAGTTTATGAAGATAGTTTTCTGTCTGACTCAAGAAAGATGAAAGAACTGCATATCTCTCTGCAGCATCACCTGGTATACTAGTCTGCTGCTCCAACAACATCTCCCTATACCTTTCAACATCATTATTCTTCAAGGCCTCCATTCTTTTATTCCGATCATCATCCTTCCTCTTTGAAAATTCCCTCAACATTCTCTCATGGTATTTTGCAACTCCTCTATTGCGAGCCATTCGAGCATCACGGATAGCCCAATGAGCCTCAAGAAGCTTCTTTCGCCACTGGAAGATGGATTTCAACTGCTTCTCTCTAATTGCTTTCTGATTGGCCTGTACTTGTCTTGTCAGCTCCATTCGTTGACGCTCACACAGCCTGACAAATTTACGATATGGCCTATCAGGCATTGCCATTATCTCCTGTTGCTGTTGATCAACTTCATCCCTTAACCGAGCCTGCACATCCAAAAGCCGAAGCTTTTTCTCTTCAATTTGCAAGCGCAACACAAGATCAGGCCTAATCCTTTTCCTCTCTAAGTTTACAGCCAGCAAACTACCAATCTTCTTTAAACTTTCTGATCTTTTCTTGTTTAAAACTTCCAATCCTTCCTCAAACAGGAGATCTTTGACATCATATGCCAATGTTAGGTTATTATTGCTATTAGGTGTCGCTGACCCATATGAGTCATGTTTCCGAGTAAAAAAGGGAAAATCAAACAATGGTCCATGATACTTTCTCGCAGAACCAAGATCTTTTGACTGGGGAGGAGTGCTTGCTTGTACAGGTTTCTTAACTTGCCCTGAATCAGATACAACAACCTGCGGTCCAATAGCCTTTCCCTTATCAGCCGTATAATCACTTCTTACAGGAGTTTTCTGAATGCTACGTTCTACTTCTTGCTCTGACTTAACAGGAAATACAACAGTTTGAGGCTCTTCTTTTCCAGAAGCTACCACAGGTGCAGGGTCCTTCACCATAGTTAACGTTCCTTGCATTTGACTTGCTGATACAGTTACTTTCTCATCTCCTGCAGATGCCTCCTTAGAAAATTTCTGTCCATTCATAGAAGATGTAGACTGGGAATCCTTTTCACTGGCTTCTACATGCCTCGCTTGGTCTTCTACAGTCTTCCCTGTAGATCTATCCTGATTATTCCCTCCTGGAGGAAGCAATTGACGCTGTGGCTGCAATTCGAGGGGTGGTGGAGCAATAGCTCGAAGAAGCTCTTGTGGAAGAGTGCCTTCTCCTTTCTGCTGAGCAATAAGAAATGCATAAGTTCTGTTTACTAATAATTGCAGAATTTCTTTTTGAAGTAAAGGACAAATTGGTTAAAAATAAGGAATGCATACATACGCACACAAACAATTGTATGCACGACGTGTGTGAAGAAGAAATAGAAACATAGATGTGCAGACCTTAAGACGCCTGAATGCCAATATTTGTGCTTTAAGAACATGGAGTTGCTGCTTGGTGAACCCAAAACGCTGCTGCGGCATCTGGTTACCTGGTCCACCCTGCAAGGGTAAGGAGTTAACCGAGCCCCCATCATTTGAATAAAGTCCGGATTGGGAAGATGGCCGATTCAACTGCCTGAGGTACTGCATTTGCAATGTTTCTGAGCCACCAACTGAATTTTTTGCAGATAAAGATGGATCT